GTTCTGAAGCCAAATACCCATGAGAATGTCAAAGCGCCATTTCGCTACTGCTGCCTTAGCAACGTGGATGCAGCCTAGCCCACCTAGGTCACCAGAACTGGAAGGATTCCAGAGGACCACAAGTTCTTACAACAGATGATCGCTGTACCTTTAGATGAAGGAACACAAGAAATCCACGTTTTTAAGCTTTACGCCCCTTCAAGAAACAGGTGGCCTCCTCAAAGGCTTGTCCACAAAATTGTACCTTAAAATGATGACGGAGCCCTTCGCATTCTTCGACGGGCTCCGCGGCTTTAAGGTGTGACATTTTATGTATTGCGAGACTATTCCCCGGGGAATCGAGTGAAAAGAAACAAACAGTTGACAAATGCAAATTCCGTCGGGACTACTACGAGGCAGGTTTAGATATTGTGAACTTTCGCATAGTCCGAATAGCTACTAAAATTCGCTGGAAACCACAACGTAGCATACCCATTAGTTAAAGAAGAAGAACGGATTGTGCATAATTCCCGCTAATGTGCGTATTATTTCAAAATAAACTCGATGAACTTCAGTTCTTTTCCTCACTGAACCATCCTGACATATAGGCTTTCACATAGACCTGGTTGTCCTCAGATATCCTGGACTCGGTGGTACAGACCCCCGGGTGTCATCTCTGCCAGGCGGACCACAAAGGAGGGAGCTCTGGTGGAGGTGTGATTTTGTACTGGGATGCAGACCTCAAGACTCATCTTATTGAAGCTACTTATGATGGTAATGGTGGATTCGAAGCCCTGTGGAGCCGGGTACATGATGGATGCAGATCTCTGAGGATCGGAGTTAGTTACAGAGCGCCATTGGTTTCCGAGACTTGGCTGTTGACTTCCAATAAAAAGGCATGGTGGGAGGAAAGGACTGTGTACGGTTTAGAGACTGCAATACCCCAAGTGCGGACTAGGATTTGCTGCCCTTGGCATTGTGTGTCAGGAGCCACTCCGTATCTCAATAACTTTTATTCCTTTAGAATATCTGCATCCAATCTTTCCTCTGCCTCACCGCCAATTGACCCTTAGATCTCTCTCGCGGCAACCTATTTATTTTTCTTTTCCATATTCTTCGCTCCCTATCGTCTTACGCTAGCTACTTGCTGTTCATGCACCTTTCAATCACCACCAATAATCTAAGTCTCTTTGCCGTCTCCCCAAGCAATTGTCGGCTCATACTAAATCGATACTTCGTGAATTGCTTACTGGTACAACGCTCTTGTCTCTACGCAGGCGTTAGCAATCAACCCATAGGGTTATTGATTCCATAGGACATTCTAATGGCACTTTCAGCACAATCATTGTTGCACAGTGTACATGCTTTTGTCTTAGTACCAAATGTTGTAACATAAGACTTTAACAATGCTTAACTCCACGCCTGTTCTTGTCGTCTTCTCTCGGTTGTCCTTCACTTTCCCTTTTCTCAGAGGTCCGGAGCTTCTTGGAGATCTGGGATTGGACTGAGGAACAGTTTTCGCCCAAGACGGACGTAACAACCGACAAGGACATAATAAAGCATGGTTGTACACCAAGAGGACCCAACTACAAGCACCACAACCGTTGTCCAATATGGAGAGCTGGACACATTTTCACACTCCCATAAATTATACATCTGAAAAATCCAGACAGCAGATAATTTGAACGTTTGCTCACTTGGACACAACAGGACGACTGTTCGCGATGTTCCCCTCCTCAACCGGCCTCAACAATCATGGCGGTCCTGATCAGGTTAGCTGTCAAACCAACAGAGGAAATTAGAGGCCATTTGACTGCGAATAACCGAATATGAAATCAGCCATCAAGCGGCTTTGCTAGTAATACATTTATGTTCAAAATGCTCTACGGCAGTGTTGCAGGACGTGGTGGGTTTTCGCCTGGCAAGTGTTCTCCCTATAATTAGCCACGAATGGCTGTTTAACAACACTGCGACGTGGCGGATGTGACTCGCCCCTGAATAAAGTCATTGCCCACAACTACATACTGGCAAGTCGACTAGACTCATATTTCAACTTTTTCCCGACACATGCAAGAATATGATACTCCCCGTCTACGTGCACCGTTTCAATGCACTTATAGTGCCTTGACCGTTTCAACTACACACGATTGAACCCGAAGTATCGTCGTGCTACACTACTGCCTATAAAACTTGATCATGCCTGATTTGGTGTGCCTCTATAAATTTGAGAATAGAAAATTTATTTATTTATTTATTTACTTCTTCAGATATTTTTGCTGCGGGCCTGTTGAAAAACGTTCTCGAGTAAACCTAGTTAACCATTTTAGCTTGGTTACTGGTATATTTGTTTGACAGACCCCCGTATTCTCGATCGTTTGCTTTCTCTGGCACGATCAGATGTTGCAGACATCACCACTCTTCCCCCTATTAGTAATAGTGATCACCGTATGGTTTTATTCCGCTGGACTGGACGCCTCACTCTTCACAACCAAGCTAGTTTCCTCAGAAATTTCTGGCGTGCCGATCCAATCCGTCTGCAAGCGGCCGCTAGCTTTGTGAACTAAAATATCCCTTTACCCTAGGATACAGAAGAGGAGTGGAAACTGGTGTACTCTAAGATGCTCCCGCTTGTTGAGCACCTTGTTCCTATTTAGCAAAGGAGAACGTTTACCAGAGGCCCTCTGTGGGTAAACCGAGAACTGAGGTGCATAATGTCCAAAAGACGTAAATTACAGGACTGATTTAAACGCCATCACGGCGCGCCTGACCATTCGAACTACTAATTGATCAGAAACGACTCTGGAAAAAAAACTTCAGAAAAGGCAGCAGTATGAACGCCGTTTGGCTGTGCAATTTAGGACGACACCGAAGTCACTGTGCTCCTACCTGAAAAGAAGTATCAAAGCTGGTAGTGGCATTCTTCCCTGGTTGCCGCAAAGCAGGGCAGTTCACTTGACGGCGATGCGACGAAAGCCAATGTACTAGCACTGCAATGTTTATCTGTTTACTCGATAGAGATACCGATACCCGGTGACACTGCACCAATCCACCCCGCTTCGTTGCAATACACAGAAAGGAATGTGGCTGACGTTACCCAAGGCCATCATGAATTAGATCCGAACTCCTCGCCGGGTCCTGATGGGCTGCACCCGCCGTTCCTTAAAACCGCAGTGGACTACGTTGCTGCTCTCGTCTGTCAGGTAGTTCGTCACTCCCTAGAAGCTGGACGACTCCCGCTTGATTGAAATGGGTGAACCGTTAAACCTATATGCAAGGGAGTGCATCGTCAAGATCCTGCAAGCTATCTACCTACGTGCCTAAAGTCCGTACCGTGCGAGTTAATGTAAAGGATTCGTGAGCGCGCCACGCACCTTCATTTCGAGAACATAAATATCATCTCTTGTGTTCTGCATGGCTTTCGGCTGGCACGCTCATGTACCTAGAACTTACTTGTTGCTAGGGAGAATTGTGCCAGATCTTTAGACGATGGGATACGCCCGGACGTGGTTTTTGTAGACTTCAGCAAGGCGTTTGACAAGGTCCCATGAAAGGCTCCTTCTTAAACTCCGTGGTACCGGTATCTCTGGGAACGTCCTTTCTTGGATCGCTGATTTGTTGGATGGAGAGACCGTGTGAAACCAGGTGAATGAAGCCTAGTCCGCTCCCGTGCTCTTGACCATCGGTGTTCCGCAACGGTCGGTATTGGTCCAGAACTGTTCAAGCTATTCAACAATGACCTTCAATCGCTGCATTCGATGGATTTCCTGATTTATGCCGGTAACCTGAATCTGTGGATGGAGAAATTCTGTCTCGAGGATGCTGACAGATTGCAAGCGTCATTGGACATGCTACAAGACTGGTTAGTCAACTGCACATTGCCCATAAATCGTGAAAATTGCTCAGCTCTTTCCATAGGAGCCCTTGAACAGTTCGGGATATACCATATTGTTGGGGTGTTACTCGGAACCACCATTCTTGGAAAAGATCTCGGTGTGTTTGTCTCATATGGTTTACGGACCGCAAAAGACGCTAGAAAGGGTTGCCGCTGCCAACAGGATGTCGCATACCATATGGAGAGCCTTCTCGCGACTGACTCCGGATATCTTCAGAATCCGCTTTACTTCTCAGTTGCGCTCGAAACCTGAATACGGACTACCCGCCATCTGTCCTCTTAGCAAATTCGAGTGTGACATGTATGAGGTCCAGCGGCGTGCTTCGAAATCCATACTGGAGTTAAGGGACTAGCCTTACCCTCTGCGACTACAGTGGATGCAATTTTTCCCCATGGAATATCGTTGACGAAGGGCTTAGCTGATGTTTACTAGGCAAATTCTGATGGGTGAGTTAGGGATGGAGCTACAAACGTTCATTCAAGTCAACGCTGATAGTTTCACTCTGGAGCCCAACTGGAAACTATTCAAACCCAGAAGACGCAGACTCCGCTCCACCCTTGCTCTAGCAACCCGCGTTGTAAATAACTGGAACGACTTGCCCGAACATGTGGCCGACGCGCAGATTGAGGATTCATGCAATTATTGGATTCACACTTGATTAGTAAGCTGGGACCTTGATTCTTCCAATGTAGCTGTTATGGCCCCTTGTGGAATACCATTTCATAGTGACTCACGGCATCCAGGCAGTTCTCGGGAAATGAACGAGCTAACGGAGAATTTCCTCCTGCTCTCTACCGTCCGATTATCCAATGATCGAATCATCCAATGGTCACCTTTTGATAAACAGCCCAAATACGTTGATTGACTGTCGCGCCGCCGACCTAACCGGAAAGGAGCAGGTCAAAGAGGATTAGAGCACGGGCACTACACTACGTCGGTTCATTCTGGTGCCAATGGTTACCAATAGAAACTAGCATATTGGTGCATTCGAACACTGAATTCCAGGTAAAACGGACCAGAAAGTGCCAACCTCCATGCAATTCTGACCACGTACACGCATCCACTCGGATGACGTTGCCATCTTGCATCCACACGCTTTGCTGTGCCACTACTGGCCAGTGGTTAAGCGAAAGATTATTTCGAATCCGGATCCAGTCCTGCACTATATAGTGCTACAAGATATTTTAGTCGTATGATCTAACGGCATGAAATAATTTACTTTTAAAATATTACTAGCGTATTCGCTCGTTATCTACTAATTACACCGTGTTTAAAGGTTCCAGCGTTTCGGTCACAACTTGTCTGCTTAGGGCGTGTATTTAAGTTTTCTTTCTTTGTTATTTTCATCGTCCGTTCTGTGCTCTCCGTACACCCCAAGCATGCCAACAAGTCTTAGGGAGCGCGTTTGCGTAGTTACTGGAGCTTCACGTGGAATCGGTAAGGCTGTCGCTGTTGCTCTTGGCCAGTCCGGCGCTACTGTTTACATCACCGGACGAACTATTAATGGACAATCCAGAGGTACATGTAAAGTTTCTGGATGTCTTAAAGAGACAGCACAGCTTATTGAAGACTTGGGTGGTGTAAGTTTTTGTAGTTGTTTTTTTAATTTCTTGTCGTATGTTTTACCTTCGGATCGAATGATTACATTTCAAAAAATAAGGTACTTATCTTTCTAACATGAAGAGTATATTCACGCAGCGGTTATCACTCTTTTACTCTTGTTTTCCATTTATGCTTACTTAGTGTTCTAGTTGTAGTATGACCATACATATCCTGTTTTAATGGCCTACCTAGGACTATCAGTAATCTTGTTGGTGCGCCTCTTTGGCCACTTGTGCTTATAGAAAAAAGAGCGTCATTTACCTACATATAACAGGAAATATTATAGTCCATCGGTAAAGCCACTAGGGTTGACCGGTAAGTCATTTCAGTAACTTCGTAAGCAGTCGGATTCTCAGTCCGCTGAAAGCCCTTTGGACTGTCAACGGATTTTCAAGCATTTGTACCCTGTTTACTATTCCACACAGGTCACGGCGTGTTTCATCGTCCGCGATTCCCCTGAAAACACTGTGGAAACAGTGTTTGAGTAACATGCAACGACATATTTGATTGTCACTTTTCTTGTGATCCAAAAAGGCGTAGAAGTGCCCAGTATAACAGGATCTGTTCTGATTTTTCTTTCAGCGGTCACGGTGCCTTTGTCGTGTTTCCTTTTTCCACTTTATCCCCAAAATAGCTGAAGCAGTGTCTAAAAAATCGGTAACAAACTAGATCTTGTCAATTTTCTTGTTATCCAAAACTGAGTATAAACAGTGTTTGAATAACATTGAGCTAAACTTTTGATTTTGTTTGTTTTCGTTTGATCAGAAGGGCTTAGAAGTCGTAACCTACTCGGAATCTCTCCTGTGGTTCTCTCGCCTTACGATTATCTGCCTTCATAGTAGTGGGTGTGCTCAGGCGTCCGGACGCAGTTACTTTCGATGTGCTGCTCTTCCTGATTTGGCTATCAAAGTTAACGCTTGTAATTAAAATCCGAAGCTCATTTTGTGATGACTGACACTTAATTCCCACTCGGATCCTGCATATATTGGATTGGTCTCCGACGTCAGGAAGTGAAGGATTGCACTTCATCACATCTTCGTGTGTTGTTACCGGAATACGCTTGTTTCCACGGCATTCGTTGATTGTACTCGTCGATTGCAGCTGATTTCCGCAAACCGGTTCGCACTTGTCTTACTCCTTATTGATCTGCTTGTTTTCCTTGCTTTTGTTTTATTCTTGTAATAATGGCAAGAGGAAATCGCCCCTTTGATTCAGCTGACTCGGTAGCGCCCCGTGGTAAAGTGGGTCGATTAGGTTCTGCGACCAACTCGTCGGGCGGCATGCAGTGCTGTATTTGCCGTGGATGGTTCCATGAGCCCGGTAGTGGTATAATTTCAGAGGAGTGCGCGCTTGTGGCATCAAATAAAAGCATGCCCTAAAGCCGCTCTGAATTCTGTATGGGCAGGACTCATCGGGGTCCATTTACAGCGAACGATTTCGCGACACTGCTTTCTAGGTTAGATAACCCAGAATCACTTGCCCTTGTTGACGTCTGTAGGTCAGAAGTCGACAAACTTACGGCCAGCTTTGAAATCGTGAGACCTCTCAGCCAGCAGACGACTGTAGATTCTTATAATGTAACACCCAATTCAACCATTCCGACAACCACTAGGGATTCCTTTTGTTTGTGAGGACCCTTTCCATTGTGCTTTTGACCCAGCCCTTAGTGAACTGGAAGTGCAACCACTTCCACTCACCAAATGAAAGCGAGAGAATGAAAAATGTTGCACCATCTTCACTTACTGTCAGTTTGACTGATGCTTTACAGTCAGCTTACTTGACTGCAAGTCCCAGTGTTTCGCCGCCTCATGTATGAACTTTACGTCTACAGAACCTTCATAACTTGCTGCGGACGTGCGCTCATCTGGTTCTTTGACATATCCTCCTGGTTAGGGATTTGAAATGGGATGGCATCCATTTCTGCAAAACTAATTGTCACCTCTCCGCTGCCTGGCGGACAGGTTTTTGAGCCAAAAGCTTTGGTTGAGGACCCTAATTGTCCTCCTGTCTGTGTGCGGGCGCAAAACTATCTCAACCCACATACAACCATGACTTTTTCTTCAAACATGAACTTCATCCTGCATCGACCGTTGTGCAAATTATCAAGAGTCGTCTTATCTGCTGCATACAGAAGGGCAGATAAGCAAAAACGTGCATCCTTTCCTTTCCACTTTTTCTCTTACTCCAATCCCGGCTCCCATTATTAACCTTTTATAATTCCCAGCCTAACAGCAACTGAAGTGCCACTAAAGTAGAACCATCTACAGCCACCTCGCGACACGCACCGGACGTCTATCGGCAACAGTCCCTTATAAGACCATGCTGTCCCGTTTCCATTGAGACGTTCAGCCTTCGAACTCTGACAAATCGGTCAACAGGCTGCACTCGCACACACCTTCGACACACTGGGTATTGATGTGTGCTGTGTGTCCGAAACTATAATCAGTGACCCTGATGAGGTTGTTGAATTAACTGCACCCGGCTTATCCTCTCGTTATTGGTTGCACGCATCCAGAGACGCCGATGCAGCACTCACGGGTCGAGCTGGTATTGGTGTCATTCTAAGCTCTAAGGCTGAGTCATCGTTGGTTGATTGGATTCCGGTGAACAGCTGTTTATGTGCAGCCCGTTTGACGACATCAGCTTTGATTCACGAAGTAGTACAAAACGCTATGTGTTTGTACTTTCCGCTTCTGCTCTCACCTACTCCAGTTCAAATACTGTCAAGGATACATTCTATGACGAACTGAACGCGCTACTACGCAGTGCTACGAGTTCAGATATTATAGTACTTGCCGAAGATATGAACCCACAAGTAGGGCGTCTGAGCTCTTCAGAAGATCAGTTGGGTGGGAATTATGGGCTTAACTCCGAACGGACTGACAACGGCGAGCGTCTACTGCAACTGTGTGCATAGCACCAGTGGTTTCTTAGTAGCACTGCTTTTAGACACGGTAGGCGCCGAAGTGCCACTTGGCCTCCTCCTGTAGCTGGCTAGCGATGGACCCCATAGCCATAAGTGGCGTGGTTCCATCCTGGATTGCCGTTCGTACTGGAATACCTGCGTCGAGTCTGATCATGCCTTGGTACGCTTTCGTTTCTCCATAAAGTTTACTGGGAGGCGCACGAAGCGTGTCCTCTGATTAGCAACTGTGAAGTTGTCTCAGCCCTCGGCTAGACAAGCCTATCAAGGCACTGCATACCGAACTTTCGCTGTCTTGTCCTTATGACACTGAGCTTCAGTGGAATAGGATCTCGGCTGCCATACACGACGCAGGAGCATCTGCTTGTGACACTATCAATCGTCACCGCACCAATTATTGGATATCCGAGATGTTGCTGAACCTGTTAAAATCTGGAAGAGACCTTCCTGCTGGCTCTGAGCACAATGTGACCAGAGGGGCTATTAGGCGCGAACTAAAGCGGAGCTTACGTGCTGACCAGGAAGTCTGCTGGACCAGTCAGGCTCAAGAAATAGAGGAGGCAGGAGCAGTAGGCAATTACCGCAAGCTCTTCCAGCTGATCCGCACCACTGGTCTCAGAAAACCAGGTGTCAGTGAGACAATCAGAGACAGCGCGGGTGCACTTATACACAATAAGAAACGCCGTATGGCTCGTTGGGCGGGACACTTACTAGATCAGTTAAGCTGGCCCCCTGTTCCCGAGGCTCTTCCTACTCAGGTGATGCAGTAGGAGCCATGGACGGTTAGTTTAGAACCTCTGTCCGAGACCTAGGTCCGAAACACAATCATAGCTCCCAATCCTTTTCGTGCCGCTAGGCCGGATTCGCTCCTTCGTGCACTATTTAAAGATGGAAGTGAGGTCCTCTGCGAGGCACTAACCTCCCTATTCGCACGTATCTCAAAGGAAGTGTCCCGGCTAATTGGAGCGAATCGATTATAGTGGCAATCTACAAGTAGGGCAGTCGCACAGACTGTTCTAACCACAGGGGTATTAGCTTAACGCCAGTTGTGACAAAATTACTGATCTCAATTCTTGTTCATCGCCTCACTGTGAAATGGGAATCTCGGATTAAAGAAAAGCAGGCCGGTTTGGCCCAAGACGTGACTGTATAAACCATATCTTCACTTTGCGACAGGTGCTAGAGCAGCGCCACGCATACCTCAGACCGACAATAGCTGTGTTCCTCGATTTCAAGAGTGCGTTCGATTCAGTCGATCGATCGATTCTGTTTGAAATACTTGCGCGGAAAGGTGTTCCCACGAAATATGTGAACATCCTACGTGCTCTATACTCGAACACTACAGGCCGCATCAGAGTCTACGGTGACCTGTCGGATAGCTTTCCGACCACAACTGGCGTTCGTCAGGGTTTCCCCTGACGTTTCCCCATTTTTGTTCAGTTTCGTCGTGCATTCTATCATGGAGTGTTCCCTTGTGGAATCTCACGATGTAGGCGTTGAAGTGCTGCCTGGTGAAAGGTTAGTTGATCCAGATTATGCGGACGATGTCGCCTTGCTTTTCGACGATGTTGGGGCGGCACGATCAACCCTGAATAGCCTATCCAGAGGGGTCCCATTATTTGGTATGCACTTCGCACCTTCAAAATGCAATGTGTTGCTGCAGGACCAACAGCCACTTTATGACCGCTTGACGCTTGCTAACGCGGAACTCGAGGTGGTTGATCACTTTTCTTGACAGCTGCATCAGCAATGATGGACGCATAGAAACTGACGTCAGCTCACGCATTGCACAGACCAGAGCTGCCTTCTTGAACCTGCGACATCTTTGGCGACAGAAGGCCGTGTATACAAGGCCACAGTGAGGGCCGTTCTGCTCTATGGTAGTGAGACTTGGCCCCTTCGGTCTGAAGATCTGAGGCGCCTTCAGATCTTTGATCATCGTTGTCAGCGAAGCATTCTTGGTGTTGGATGACCCCAGCGTGTCCGCAGCGATGATGTGCGTAGGCGAGTACTAGGTAGTGATAATCATGCTAGCTCTCTAGAACAACAGATAGC